CCTTCGCTAGATTCCTAAAACCTACGATCATAAACACCCCACTCGCCAAATCTAACCGCCTCTTATCGACTAAGCCGGTCGTAGGTTACACGACGTATCCATTTGAGAAGCGACCGACACGCCGAGACCGGATCTCTGGTGTCAATGGATAGAAAAGTTTTGTCGCAACCTAGCTAATAACTGAGCAGTTATTGACCGGTTATATGACCGGTCCAATAACTGCGGTCGGTCGGTTATGAGTCAATGACCGACAATAACCGACCAATAACCGACCGTGACCGACTGAACCCACCCCTACTCTAGAACTTTCCTTCCCTCTTAGAAAAAAAATTATATATAATAATATAATTTCTGAAATTTTTAATGGTAAAAATAATTTTGAAGTTGGTAACATCCGAACATTTTCGAAGTAGGTAATGAAAGGACTTAAAATACTAGCGAGGTTGAACTATTTAGTATTTAAAAAATGATATAAAAACTTTTCTATGTATATAATATGGTCAAACCCCCAGGGCAGAGGGGTAATGTAAAATATGAATCAATTTGGTCTCGCCTAATGATTAAAATAATTTAAAAGTGTGAAAATTCTATTGTTTTAGAATTGGAACCGCTTAATGACCCAATAAGATTAATCTGATGGAAGGTCCCATGATTCTAAAATTTTAAATTGAAATATCAATACAGTATGATGATGTTGAAATAAAATAATATATAATTAGCAATTACCTGGTACTGGTGGAAGGGTAATAAGTCTACTAGTATAGATTGCTTGTTTAGATGTTTTGTAAATTAGAGAAGCTTCCGTTGGAAGTATGCTAAAATCTATATTTTTTTCAATAGCATCAATTTCAGTCCATATTTCACTTTCTTTTTGTCTAAATCTACAAAGTATATTGACCAATTCAAAAGCAACTGGTCGATTTTCGGGATTTTCACTCCAGCAACGTTTGATCAAGTCAATAATGGCTAGTGGTGTTATGTCTTCATTAATACCTGGACGAAGTCCTTCGCTGACAATTTGAAGTACAAGTTCTGTATCATGTGGAATATCATAATAAGGAGGACATCCTGACGCAACTTCATTCATAATTATTCCAAAAGAATAGATGTCCGCAGCTTTTGTGTATGGTTTTCTACATAATACTTCAGGTGCAATGTATGGCAATACTCCAAAAACACCATCTTGAGCTTCAGAATTAACGGTTTTACATAATCCAAAATCCGAAATATAAGAAAAACTTTTAGAAATAATAACATTTCCGCAATGAAAATCTTTATGAACTAAGTTTGCTTCATGAATTTCATAAAGACCTTTAACAGCTGTGTATAAAAGATCTAGTTTTTGTTTCCACTTTATAAGTTTAAAGTTTTTATCTAAATAGTTTCGAAGGCTACCATCTTTTTTATAATCCATAATCATCATGTAATTATCAGACCTTGGGCATTTAGTTATTCCATAACATCTGATAATATAACCAAATTCTACAAATGAGGTCATTTGAAGTTTAATCTAAAAAATGAAAAAGGATTAATCGCAAATATAAAGATTTGGAATTTACCACATTAAATTAATACCTCTTCAAAAAATTCATCAGTTATATCCTTTGAATTTTTTATACTTTTAAGAACAATATCGATCTCTCCTGACCTGTACCATTCTTGATCATCATCTTCATAATATTCAATAGGACCACTCTTCCATTTAGCTTTATATACAGTCCCATATCCACCTTCAGCAAGATATTCAACATCAAAGATATCTTTTTCAAATGAAACCCATTCTAATATTTTATTATGATCATTTGCATTAAGTTGAATTTGTTGAATAAATTCATCAATAGCTTTATTACCGCTCGTCCAGTTGTCAAATTGTTCTTTGAAGTAACCTGAGTTACATGTCTTACACCAATTAGCACCGGTTTTTGGATTCTTACAATAGATACATTTTGGATATTTAAATTTAGCATATGGATTAGAACTCATTGGTCAAGTTTTACATTGTTCCCTGGTAGATTGAACCGAAAAAAAAAAGCTAGGCACTGTTGTATGTATGCACGATGCGTACATTACTACGTAGCACAGAAATAAACTCTAGTATACAAGGTTTGGTATTACAGGAAAACGTTAGTGTGAATCATGCTTTTGTTTCTATTTCAGGAAATGTATCGTTTCACTGACGCCCGTATTAAATAAAGCAACTATGTCGGCGTTATTTTCAAAACCCAGAAATTATGTAAGAAAACTGGATACAGAGAAGTCTCCTTAAATGCATCCTGTCCAGATCAAACTTGTTCGGATCAAAGTTTTTTGAGAATAAGAAAAATAGCATTTAGGAAGATTAGGCATATATTTGGGTTTGAATTTACTGTTCATTTATGGAGATAACGCATCTAAGAGGGTGCATTTATCTGTATATTTTGTGTCTCAGATAACTCCCTGCCTGAATTAGGGGGTTATAGTAAAAATTACTGCCGATCATTTAATGCTGGTCATTTGTTAGTCGTCAGTTGCAACCTCACACGTGTTGCAATTTTTTTTATTGCTCTCAAAATGCACATTGCCAAAAGTTTGGCCTGGACAGAATGCATTTAGGGAAGTTCTTCTGTATATGCAATTTTCTCATTGTATTTTGCCGAAAGTGAATTTAAGGAGGATTCTCGGTATCTTGGCATTTAGAGAGAGTGCATTTAAGGAATTTAATCGATATTGAATTTTTCCAACTTTTATTTAAGATAATGTCATTTTAAGTTACAATTAGGGCCGGAAGCACGGAGTTTTAGAGGCATGCTTAGGTGTATACACTTTTGAACAAAAGGCATGTCCTTATCATGTGATTTATAACTAACATATGATTGGTTAAATTAATAATTGATCAATCAGAATTAAAGCCTGCTACGCTAATTACTGACATGAATTATTAATTGTACACTGAACGTATACATTATTCGACATTTCATATGATCATGTGAATTTTTTTGCCATGATATTTTTTGCATGAAATTACGTAATCAGTTTTGCAAAACATCACAGAAAAAACTTCACATGGTCATATTAACTATCCAATAACATCATTATTCGGCATACGTACGACAAAAAAAAATTGCCTGTTATTTTTTGTCGTCTGCCGAATAATGTATACTTATTGCGTGATAAGCATAACAGGACAAAACAAGAACTACCCACTACTCACTTCAATTAGAGTATAAATTCATTTGAAATATGGAATTTATGCCTTATGTCATACCAAAGATTTCGCAATATAAAATGTTATTCTGATATTCACAATTTCGGGGCAAACATGGCAATGTCAACTGGATGAAGGCTTTTTTGGCAATTGTGAATTTGATATTGTTTTCACTATAAATATTCGCAACAGATTGTGTCCAGAATTCGCATTAGAAATTTCCGAAAATTACGCTGAATCAGTAAATCAATGCATGAATCCTAATCTAGAAAACTCCGGATTTTTGAGGAATAGAATGAAGGGGAAGTTCAAATAACACGAGAGTAATTGAAAAGTAAGTCTTGGAAGCTAACAAAATTGTCAAATTACTGATCATTTGAGCGAAATGACTTTGGTCACATTAGGAATGCAAACTTAATTAAATTTAAATATCAAAATAATTTTATTTTTCGAAAATATTATATAGTTTTGATAATTATAGAATTATAAAAGCAAAATCATATGATCAATTGATTTTTTTCGAACTTGTTTTATCAATATCAAATTTATCGTGAGTCAAATAACTTACTCACACTATCGGACTTAAAATAATACAAAATTTATTAAAAGTACAAAAATATTTTTGGATTTGAATTTTTAGATTTAATAAGGGGAATTTACAAATAAGGGCCCAAAACGAAAATAATTACATATAAATTATTACAAATAAGGGTCCAAATATATCGTCAAAATTGCTAGCCGATTTAATCATAACGGTATCATGGTTAATTGTCTTATTTCGTGATTAAAAGGTGTTTTAAAGTTATTGTTCATCATTCAATCTCATTTAATCTCATTTGCTTATAATCACAAACTTTTGAAACCAATTCATATAATGCATACAAAATTTAATCTTTATATAAGCACAAAATTCTTGAAACCAAGGGTGTAATTATAGAGAGTTTGACTGTAAAAAACCCCCCTTCCGAAAAAAAGTTCCGACCAACTGACAGGATTTTTGAAATTCATGTGATGCAAAATGAAAAATTAGCTTTGTGTTGTTTACTTCTCCAAGTTACCATGTATGATGTCTCGGTCCCCACTTTAGAACGAACACGATTTTCAATATCACAAGGTCGAACTCGTGCTTTGAATGTATCCATAAAAGTTGACAAATTAGATCATATTTACGCTTGTTAGCTGAAATAGTAAAAGGGCATGAAGTGGTTTCATTTGTAAAACAGCTTATTTGGTTTGTTCATTCTTAACATTAGAATTCAGAATAACAGTTTGTTTGTTCGGTCTTAACTTAGAATTCAACAGAATAACTGTCCAAGGCCGAATGAAAATTTTCCAAGGTTATAAAAGTCATACCGATCTGTAACTTTGTGACCAACATTTATGAATAGGTTTTAAAAAAATATATTTAAGAATTTCAATAAAATCAATTTACAGCGTGAATAATGGGTTGACAAATCGAATGTACCTTTTTATTGTGCATCGGAATTTATATTTGAATTACCAATTGATTATTACAGTAAACCTCCATAAGTGCACGCCCTCTGGACTGAACTTTAATTATGTGCACTTAGAGAATAATAAGAGTGTATTTATAGAGGTTATGTATATTTGGGCCCAAATTTAAGTGTGCATTTAGAGAGGGTGTGCACTTATAGAGGGTGCACTTATGGAGGTTTTACTTATTATTTTTATTTTTTGGCCATTATCTGTAAATTCCCCATTTAATAATGCCAAAATTACATCTCTAGGTCAATGTCATAAATTATTGGGCTGGGCCAAATTTAAAATAACATGGTCCGGTTCATCCAGCAGGCTTTTTTCTTTGGCCAGATCTGAGCTTAAAAGTGTTTTCGAGCCTGGATTTGAACTCAAGCAATGCTGACCCGACCTATTTTGGACCCTTTACTTGAACAAAAAAATAATTGATCAAGCATTATAATCTGAATCATATAATACTTGACATATTGAATCATTATTAATCTTAGGTGGTTATATTGTGGTAAGGTTTATTTTAAACTTTAGTCTTCGGATATTTCTCCTTTTTTTTTCTTTCTGGACAATCAAAATTTAACTTTCTGTTGTCTTTTTAGGCGTTCGTATTACTCACAAGATTAGGTGACGTGGCCACATCATTTTTTGATTTTGAGAAATAAAACAATATCGATATAGTCACCTTATTTCACCCAATACTAGTGAAACGCAATATTTCCTGAAATAGGAACAATAATTATAATTTGTACTAATCAGACTGTTTTTTCGCCTGCCCTGTTTAACGTTTATTACTGTATTACGTAGTTACTGTATATCTGGTTTTTGTTAAACCTATGTAGGTACGTACGTACTTACGCACGTAGCTCTTTTTTTTCTCCCATTTAACATACGAAGGAATTAATATAAACTTTACCAAATGAGTGCCAATTCATATGATAAATATAAACGTCCAAAACATAGCTGCAATAAACCACTAACCGGTGATAACTGGTGCAAGCATTGTAACTCTAAACACTTTGAAAAAGAATTTGGAACATGGACAAGTGATAATAATCACGTTGATGAACTTATTCAAAAAACTCAAACTGAAGCAAATGATCACAATAAAGTATTAGAATGGATTCGATTTAAATCAAAAGAAATTTTTTGTGTTGGATTCCTAGCAGAAGGTGGCAATGGGCATGTATATAAAGCTAAATGGAAGAGTGGTCCTATTGAATATTATGACGAAGAAGTTAAAGGTTGGCACAGATCTGGCGAGATCGATATTGTTCTTAAAAGTATAAAAGATTCAAAGGATATAACTGATGAATTTTTTGAAGAGGTATTAATTTAATGTGCTAAATTATGAAACCTTTATTCGCAATTAATTCATTTTTAATTTTTTTTCTTATTTTATATATATTTATAATATATCTATTTTTTTTAGATAAAACAACAAATGACCTCATTTAGACAATTCAGCTATATTATTAGATGTTATGGTATAACTAAAATTCCTGACTCCGATAATTACATGATGATTATGGATTATAAAAAAGATGGTAGTCTCCGAAAATATTTGGATAAAAACTTTAGACTTTTAAAATGGCGACAAAAACTAAATATTTTATACACGGCGATTAAAGGTCTTTTGGATATCCATAAGGCAGACTTAATGCATAAGGATTTTCACAGCGGAAATATTATTATTTCTGACAACTTTTCTTACATAGCCGATTTTGGATTATGTAAAAGTGTCAATTCTAATGCTCAAAGTGGTGTTTTTGGGGTAGTGCCATATATTGCACCTGAAGTATTATTTAATAAACCGTACACAAAAGCAGCGGACATTTATTCTTTTGGAATAATTATGAATGAGGTTGCGTCAGGTCATCCCCCATATCATACGATTCCACATGATCAATACCTTATGATTGACATTGCTAAAGGACGTCGTCCAGTACCTAATGAAGACATAACACCACCAGCCATTATTAATTTAATTGAACGTTGCTGGAATGAAAATCCCAATGACAGACCAGACGCTAATGAATTATTTAAAACATTTAGTAGTTTCATGCAAAAAGAAAGTGAAATACAGACTAAATTTGATGCTATTGACGCGAAAATGAATTCTAACATATCTTCACCGGAATTTTCTCCATCTCTAACTTACACAATTTCCAAAGATTCAATATATACTAGTAGACATCTTATTCTTCCAGGTAATTACAAATTATATACAAAAAATTACTTTAAAAGCATCATCATGCAATATTAACGTTTAAATTTAATTTTAGAATTATCTATTCCGTTCGACTATTAATTTAATAATAAAAAATAAATTAATTGGGTCAAATCATTTTTGTACATGACGACAAGGGTAGAATCGACATCAAAAAAAGTATATATAATGTTCAGGAGATTGTTTTATAGACAATTTTGGGGTTATAAAGCTATTTTTTTTTTACCTTTTTGTATATTTTTATGTTTCTTTTACGTTCCGAAATTTTTTAGTGTAGTGACTTGCCATAACCGAACGATATAGTCATAGAGTAAAAAAATTGGTGGTCCCATGACTAATTCAACAACGGTGCTATCCTAATTTCTTCTAAAAATTAATATTTACATTGGGGTAAAATAGAAATGATATATCTTAATTTTTATGCCAAAAAAACTTTTCTTTAAAAGCAAATTTATGAATTTTTGCCTTCATTTTATTTTACTTTGAATTTGCGTTTACCAAAAATTTTACATCATGATCATTTCATTTTCCATGATCAATTATAGAAGGAAACAGTTAAATTGTTTCAACTTAAAAAAGATAAATGCTCTCATACTTTAATATTATGTAAATAATATAATTATATTGTAACTCTTCTATATTGCTACGCTTGTTTTATAGTGTATGAAATTTATCTATTATTCAAAATGCGATTATTTTAAATGTGAAATTTTAAACGTACTATTTGGTTTAAAAAATTCTTTAATATAATTTTTGTTATTTTGTAATTATAACTATCCTTTAATTGAATTTTACAAGCACAAATCTATCCTTTAATTGAATTTTACAAGCACAAATTGACTTTAATCATTGATTAGAATACATATCACTTCACAAACAACGCTTCCATATATAATTTAAAAGTTAACTTAAAAAATTACTTTATGTTTAGCAATTTTTAATTGATTATTGGTAACTATTTTCTGTAAATAAATATGTATGATATAATGAAGTGTTATTTTGAAATTTTGTTTTAAGAATATTAGAATTATTGTATAAATGTAAATGACGAGATAGTTGTTCGCGAAACTTGCTTATGCATTACGGCGAATTTGCGAAGTACCCCGAAATTTGAAAATTTTGTCCATTAATATGTCAATATAGATTTTACTGAGATAATCAACATTCCCTAAGTTATGATGCGTCATTTTTAATAAATTCCTATGTCTAACGAGATGCGTCAGGGGTGGGAAGATGGATTAGCTTGTGGGGAAAATGGGTTAAACTCGTTATCGATACAGAACAGAGTTTTTTTCGGGGTTTAACATTGATTGATTAATATATAATTTGGTAACCAAAATCTAAATTTGAGGACCAAATGATTGGATTTGGTGACCAATTGTTTCTTAAATTTCGCTAACGCGTAACTTTAATACTTAATTAGAAAAGAGTACATACTCAAGCAGATATCAATTAGAGTGTGCTATGAAAATTACATTTTTACATTGCTTATAATTTCGCATAATGGACTTCATGTAAATTTCACACATGATATATTATGAAACATGATGAAACTTAACTAGCTAGAATTATGGAATCATATGATCACAATTTACCCTAACGTTAGCTAATTATATTCTGGATTTTAGTGTCATCAGCAAGTTAATATGCTGCAAAATAAAGTATGAGATTCTAATTTTAATATAACATGTTTAAAAAAGGAGTAAAAATATTTTTCGATCGTGTAACCATACCAACCTTATTTGTTTCGGAACTGTCGGAGAAATGATTATTGAGGAAGTGATATGGATTCTATTTTTATATAAACCTTATCGTTATCGATATTAAAGGTTAAAGTTATCCAATCGTTTTAAAGGAATACAGGTACGTACGTACCGAAATTTTTAACAAAAAAGGACTCTTTATTAGCCTTATACGGTTCATTACGTGGCATATTCTTGTTTGAAATTAAACACAATCGACTTTAATGCGTTCGATCAATTACGTACGTACGTACGTACGTACTTATTATTTTCTTGAGTCTGTGCATTATGATTGCCTTGTAATAAATTTATCCGAAATTTCTTATGTAAACACAATGAATGTAAGTAAAACGAATATTATTATTACTAATCCTCATGAACCGCCTCTTATATGCATAATGCACAGATTTTCAAAATTCAACTAAGGCGTTACCAAAATTTTGAACTTGACTCCAACAATGAATCGTTAACAATTACGTTAATATTTTGAATTTTAATAATTCAATTCTAGTTGGATAATAAATTCAGTTCGATTTTATCTAAACATTTAGTATCGAAATGCGTCAATGCTAACACAATAGTTTAATCGTATATACAATAATTATGAAAATGTAAACGTGAATTCTTATTACAATACGTAATATGTTACAGTACTCTTAATGACTTAAGTTTTACAATTTTTAACATTGTTACATAAAATATTAATACGTACGTACGTACGTATTGTTTCTTTTACGCATAATAGTACTATAATAGGAAAAATTCTTGTTCAAAATTGGTACGTATGTACGCACGTACGTACGTAGAAATGAAATTGCTTGATGTTAAAAGTCCGGATGTTTAAATGATGAATTCGGGAATTTATACAAATTATGCATTTATAACATATTATTAAAGAAAATAAATATGGTTCCTGTCTATTATGTTAAATGGTAGACTGTTTAATTATATTTCAATCGAATATCAGGCGATAACATTATACAATCTCAAAATGCAGATTGTTCAATAAGATATTATTCATGTGCAATTTAGTGAAAAAAGCATTAACGTTATCTATTATGCAACATTTTAGACGTTGTTGCGTACCTACTAGAATATAACTGGTTCGTACAACGGAATCCGGCAATACTTGTACCCAAGCCATAGGTCATTGCTAAAGCCATAGATTGGGGTGCTCGTTAACGGGATGTATTCAATCATAATAAATTATAGTATAGTAAATAAAAATAGGTGTGGATATTTATATTTACAATAGCTAGAAACTGTTATTGTCATAAGTTGGGTAACAAATTCAAAATGGAATATATCGACGAATATCTAGTATTTAGCTTTGACGTTGTACATACGTAATATATATGCGTACTACTACTACGTATACTCATACGTAAGTATTTAATAAACTCCAATATTCATGTTTATCTACACATAGAACGTTCTTACCGGTTTATACAAGAAATGTTTTTGTTCTTATGATGGATTTTTAATAGTAATTATATAATAAAAATTTGTTCATTTATATATTATTATAAATTTACGTAAAAAACTTTGAAATAAGTTTTATTATTTGTTTTTTTTTTTAATCAAATCCATAAATTTAAAAAAAAATTTAATGAAAAAATGAGTTCTCAAGAAGATGAATTTACATCTATAAAAAAATTATTAAAAAACCTTTCAAATGAATTCTTAAACCCTCCTGCTATTTTATTAATGTGTGGTAATTTTAATCCCATTCATAATCATCATATTCAAATGTTTGAAAATGCCAAACTATTTCTAAAAAAAAAATATGAAATAGTTGCTGGTTATATTTCACCATCTTCTGCAAAATGGATTAATGGAAAATATAAAGATAAAGAAAGAACACCATTTCAAAACAGAAAAGAAATGATAGAAAAAGTCTTAGAAGAATCTTCTTGGATTGAAATTGATACATGGCAAGCATTATATTCAGAAGATATTGTCAATTGTTATCAAGTTATTAACAGATTAGAAGAATTTTTAAATAAAAATAATCAAATTCAACAAATTTTAAATCAAAAACAACTAAATAAATTAGAAATAATTTATATTTGTGGATTAGATGAAATATTTATTAATGATATAACAAACTTAAAAGATTATAAAATTATAATTTTTGAAAGATATTTTAATAATGAGCAAAATCAAAATTGGAAAAATGAATGTGAAAATTATTTAAATGAATTATATAATGATAAATGGACAAAATTTCAACATAATGTATCTTATATAGATCAAGATGAAAATAGTAATAATTTTAGTTCTACTCAAATTAGAACATTATTAAAACAAAAAAATGATAGTTGGCAAGAAATGTGTCATTCGAAAGTAACAAAATATCTTTTAGAAAATGATATTTTTAAATATTAAAATTTTAAACATGGAAATGTTTTCAGGTAAATATTACGCTTACCTTACGTTATATTGATATTACATACATATATATTAATATTCTTTTTTTATTAACCTGTAGAACTTTATTTTTTAACTCGTATATCCTCTATAACTTTATTTTTTAACTCGTATATCCTCTATACCTTTATTTTTTAACCCGTATACCTTATTTATTGTCATAATAACTATTTTTGTCATAAATAACTTTATTTTTTTAACATGTATAACTTTATATATTATAGTATATTAATAAAAGCATATACTTTAAGCTCATACGTAATTTATCGTAATTTACCGATATTTACACGATTCTATTTATCATTGATCAAAAGGCGAAAAAAGCTAATATTCGATTTCGAATTTTTAAAGCAAATTCTCCAATGGTCCAGTTACTTTACAAAATCAAGATCCGGGATTTCTAATAATGATTTCCAAATGAAACATAACCTTATGAGTATAATGCGGTACCAAATAATCTAGGAAATTTTCTAAATGCACTGATTTTCTTTTTTAAATAAAAGAATTTTACTGCGGAATTTATTTAAGCGAGATCGATCAATTTACAGATTTTCTATTCTCGAATCGATTTACTGTTAGTATAAGATTACATAAAAATTATCGGTTACACAACACGAATATATTTAATACGGGGTCAAATTGATCACCAACAGTTTTCTCACCGTAAAACCACTACCATGCAAGAACAAATAAAATATCTCAAAAGTCTTAGATCCGTTCGTGAACGTTCAAATAAAGTTTACGAAAAAGCAAAAACAAATTCTCTTAATCATTTTCAAGTAGATTTCTCGAAACTTCAAGATGTAGTCACCAAAGTAATCGCATTAATCAAACGTGATTATAAACAAATTAATGATATCCCACCACATAGTCGTTGGCGTCATTTTGATGTTGGAGGACATGCTCGTATTCAAACTCTTATAAATGAATGGAAATCTGTTTGTGATGAACTGGAAATAACACGTAGACTTTTAGATTTGTTCGTAATTTCTGTTTTATTAGATGCTGGAGCTGGAAATACATGGTCTTATAAAGAAAAAGAAACTGGCCATATTTATAATCGATCCGAAGGACTAGCCATAGCATCATTAGATATGTTTAAGTCTGGGATTTTTTCATCTTTAGATTCTCAGCCACATCAAGTTGATGGTACGTGTTTATAATTTAATTCTTTATAATAAAAAAAAAATTTATTTAACATGTTTTGGTTTATTCATGATATAGCGGATAGACTTGAAAAAATTAGTGTGGAAGACGTTTGTTTGGCATTTCAGGTTAATGAGAATAATCCTTTAGAAGGACTTGAAGGTCGTGCTAATTTACTTAGTCGTTTGGGCCATGCTTTGAAAATTCACTTGGAATATTTCAAAAGCAAAGATAATTCAGTAAGTAATACGTCTTAATTTTTAATCTTAATCATAATTGTTGTAAAAATTAATATTAATTATAATTGTTGTAAAAATCATTATCGTTGTAAAAATTAATATTAATTGTAATTGTTGTAAAAATCATTATCGTTGTAAAAATTAATGTTCATAAATATCCATTTAGCCACCAAGACCCGGAAACCTTATAGGTATTATTAAAAGAAGTTATATTATTCATGATACTATACTATATTATACTACACGCATGATTATTAACTTTATTATTACATAATAATTTTTTTTTAGATTATCTATTATCAGATTCTACAGTTAATGAAACTGGTACTTTCGTAAAACTTGATACATTATGGTCAGTTGTAGTTTATGGATTTTCGGAAATTTGGCCGCCAACAAGAACTTCTCTAGAAGGTGTATCATTAGGAGATGTTTGGCCATGCGAAGTACTTAAATCATCAAACACTAGTCCTAATTCTACAGATCATTTAGTATCATTTCATAAACTTTCTCAATGGCTTACATATTCTCTCATTGAGCCAATGATAAAAATATTAAGAATTACTTTTGAAGGACTTGAACAGATGACTGGATTACCAGAATATCGAAACGGTTTTTCAATTTAAATTTTAAATTGCTTTATTTTATTATTGAAAAGATTTTTTTTAACTTTTTTCATCGTTACATTACATTACAGGCGGTTTATTTGTAGATACTGGTGTACTAACTCTGAAACAATCAGATGTTGAACGTGGTATAAAATATTATAAACAAAACCTATTAACATCTAGTATTCAACCCGAAGTGGAAATAGTACCAATGTTTGAAGTTGATGACTCGGTAGTGGTTGAATGGCGTGCTATGACGGTTATTTTATTAGATGAGGTTGCTGATATGGTAAGAAATACGCTCGAATTATCAAGAGAACAACTTTCTTTGGCTCAAGTTCTTGAAGCTGGAACTTGGAAGGTATAATTTAAGGTATTAATTATGAATAAATTCTATAGGTTTAGAGTTTTTACCTTTTTTTTCAATAAACTATAGGCTGGTCGCGAAATTGCAGCCTCGTTACGCCCTATCACTCGTGGACCACCAATTACTATTAAATCTGATGGAACAGTTTTTTGATTACTAAATCTAATCACATTAAGTTTGATGAAACAATTTTTTAAATTATTAAATTTAATTATAACGATTTGTTCTTTATAGATCATACATACATTAACTATACAAACCTTATTTATAGCCGTTGATGAATTTAAATTTATCTATCATCCATTAGAATTTATCAACTTTTATGATTTATTAATATCAAATTTAAAATGTCTGTTAAAATTATACGGATTATTTATCTTTCAAAGATATTAATCCAAGATTATATATGTAATTATCTTATAGTCAGTTTAATGCGTAATAATTGTTTAATCAAACTGTTTTCATTAAAAACAACCTTCAGATTTAGAGTAATAAATAATTAGATTGGCTGGAATTTTGTAATTAGTATGTAAATAATTGTGGCAGCTGAAGCTGTAATTTTGAAATATTTTACCGTAAGTCGCGAAATAACGCACACCTGCGCGTTATTTCGACCACCTACACGTTATTTTGAATACGCGCATGTGCGCTATTTCGAAACATATTTGCTTTTTTTTAAGCGTAAGATGTTCAAAATGGTGCCCATGTGCGGTATATAAACATCATGTTATAACAAGTAATTATACTGCCCGACACTGACATTAATATATATATATATATATATAATAGAGGAACAACATTCTCAATGATAGCCCACTTAAATTGTAGTATACACGTTGTGGGACCCGAATGGACCCTGGCCGTTCGGGTGGGATATTACTTAATTAGGGAAGGAGTCGATCGCATCCG